TATTCATGGCCAGTTCCTACTCATTTACTTTTCCACCGTTGCCCTTCAGTGTCCCAACGCCTTTCCCTCTGCTCGCATTTATTTTCCAGGATGTATTTATAGGCAGGAAAACATATTCCTTCTCCAGCCTCATTTTTTAGCTAAACTAAACAAGCCAAATTCTTTCAGTCCACAGGAGAAAAGACAGATTGTCCTGAGCTCTGATCAACACCTAGCTCTTCCCTGCAGCTGGAATTCACCCTTCCTGGGCTGGGCACAGGTGGCCACAGCTGCACCAAGGAGTTTGGGGGCAGTGCCAGCAGGGTATTGTCATTGTGTCATCCCTTGCCCAAGCAGCTGCTTCTTTTACTCCACGTGCCAATGCTGAAATCCTCAACTGCTGCCTTCTCCCACCCGAATGTCTCATCAAACAAGTTTGGGTTGGTTTTGTATCAAAACAGATGACTCGTCTGCCCCCTTACTGGTTCACCTACACTTCTATATAAGTAATAAGATTAAATAGTTTGTTTACTTCTCTGTTGTCTTGGGTTTTGGGGGATTTTTTTTTTTTATCTTTTTAATCATATGTAGCAAATCTGCCACAGAGAAAAGTTTGAAGGAATGAGGGATGCTTCCATTTATATCTCCTTATACTGCAAATCAGAAGCCGAAGCTTAATCTGGGTGCTTCTCACCCAAAAATATGGGTTCCAGAGTCCTTATTTCTTACTGCTGTGAGAATTAATAGCCATATTTAGGTTTGGAAGTATCTATCAGGAGAGGGAGTTAAAGTTATATATATATATTTATATTTATACATGTCTTATGCACATGAAGTAATTTGGTCGAGGGCTGGTTTTGCTCTTATTTATTTCCATATTCTTGTAATAGCTGAAGTTGGCAGAAAATAAGGGAATATCTTCAACTTTTGAATGTGTTATGATGGGGATCTGTGGGATCCTGTTTTGTCTGATCCCACTAAATAATATTATACATAATAGCAGTTTTCTCCCTTTGGGGAACTTTGGGCCAGAGTTTCACTCCAAGTGAAATTTGTCCACATCCAGGTGTGCATCAGGTGCATTCATGTGGATCATGCCCAAAGCTTTTCTTTCTGCTCCCTTTCTTCTGTTTCTCTGCTACAGGAGGATCCAACCATTTAAAAACCAGCAGGATTTTTTTCAGACTTCACAAAACTTTTCAGTTCTTTTGACATCACCCAGAAACACAAAATACACCCTTTCCAGATAGCCTGTTTAATACATGAAAGTCCTCCCACTTTTTCTTCAAGATTAATTTTTCCTCCCTGAAAAAAACATTTTATCTGCACTTCATCACATTTTTCTACCTTCTTGGAGCTATTTCTTTTTTCTCCATGTTGCAATTTAGACTTTGCACAGCAGCAACTTTTTCAGCCAGTTCTGGAGTCCTGAATTCTCAGCCCTGATATTTTGATACAGTTTAACGGGGGAAAAAAAAGGGAGAAAGGGTAGAACTCAAACTCCCACAGAAAGAGGCAGAAACAAGCACTGGAGAAGGAGCATCTGGAAGGAGTCTTCTTATTGCATGGTGAGAAAAAAAAAAAAACCAACACATGGAAAAGAGAAGAGATTGTTACCTACAGAGGACAGCACAAGACAGCTCAGAAAAGATGGTTATGATGAATGAACAGATGTGTAACATGGAACTGGAGGCAAAGGACCTGGAACGTGGCTTTGCCAGACTGCCAGTGGGTCCTTCAGTCCCCCCAGTTGCCTGGGGTGCAGTTCAGCTCCAGGCAGATCCCAAAAAGAGAGAAGGGAGCTGCTTCCTCAGCCTGCCAGAGGTTTCTCCAGCACAGAGCTGAGCCCTTCAAGAGTCTGCCTGAGTCTGTAAGTACAGGGTGGGAAAAGCAGTGTCCTCCAAAGTGGGTAAGGGAATGACAAAGAGCAGAGGAGGGGATGGAAAATCCCTATGTTAGAAAGAGAAGGACAGGAAAATACCAAGGTGGGGGATTTGAGAAGGCAATAAGGTGGTGTCAGGTCAGGGTGCCAAGGTGTGCTTGGAGAGAGCTGTTATCAACAGAGAAAGAATCCCAGAAAGGTTTGGGTTGGAAGAGACCTTAAAACTCATCCAATGCCACCCACTGCCATGGGCAGGGGCACCTTCCACTATCCCAGGTTGTTCCAAGTCCATTGAACCTGGCTTTGAACTTCCCCAGGGATGTGGAAGCCACAGCTCCACCACCCTCTGAGTACAAGAGAGGGGTGGGATGGGGTGGGACAGGAGCCCCCCCCTTTCCCAGCACAACCATGGGAAGAGAAAAGGCAAAAAGAAACCCAGAGGAGGTCCCAGATCTGCCAAGGACCTGGGAGCTGCTGGAGGTGGGAAGGTGGAAAGCAGCCTGGCTGAGGATGAACTGAGTGGTGATCCTGGGATTTGAGGTTGAGCAGGGACAGGGCAGTTTACACTGGACTGGGGAGATGATTTGGGAGCAGGATGGGGTCAGCATAAGCGGGTCCAGCTGAGGCTGGTCTGGGGAGTGGTGGTGTCAGCACTTGGGCCTTGGGGGAAGAAGCACAATGGAACTTTTTAAGTGTTCAGAGCAGAGCCAGGAAGAGGGTGAAGGGTCTCAGGGGCCACTTGAGAAGCAAATGATGCCACTGGGTTTGTTCAGCTGGAGGAGACAGAGGTCAAACCTCGCTGGGGGCTGCAGCTCCTCTGAGGGGCAGCTCTAATCTCTGCTCCCAGTGACAGAGACAGGACCCAGGGAATGGCTGGAGCTGTGTCAGGAAGACTTAGGTTGGGTATCAGGGAAAGGTTCTTCCCCAGAGGGTGTTGGGCACTGAGCAGGCACCTCAGGGAATGGGCACAGCCCCAAGGCTGCCAGAGCTCCAGGAGCCTTTGGAAAACGCTCTCAGGAACAGGATGGGATAGCTGGGGTGTCCTGTGCAAGGTCAGGGGTTGGACAGGTGTGTCCCTTCCAAATCAGACTATTCTATGATTCAGTGTAGATTTTGTGATTTCAAGATGACTAAGGAGATGGAACACCTCTCCTGTGAGGAAAGGCTGAGAGAACTGAGGTTGTTCAGCATGGAGAAGACAGCCCTGGGGAGATCTTAGAGCCTAGGTCTTACATGTCTGGAGAGGAGGTTCAGGTTGGACATTAGGAGGAATTTCTTCACAAAAGGGGTGATTAGACATTGAAACAGGCTGCCCAGTGAGGTTGTGGAGTCACCATCCCTGGAGCTGTTCAAGGAATGACTGGACCTGACACTCAGTGCTCTGCTGTGGATGACAAGGTGGTGTTTGGTCATAGGTTGGACTCGATGATTTCAGATGTGTTTTCCAACCTAAATGATTTTGTGATTCTGTGAAGAGATCTCAAGTTGTACCAGGTTTAGACTGGATATTCGGAAAAAAATTCTTCATGGAAAGAGTGGTCAGGCAACGGAACAGGTTACCTAAGGCAACCTGACGGTGGAATCCCCATCCCTGGAGGTTTTCAAAACCTCCAGGTGTAGATGTAGAGCTTGGGGATACAATTTAGGCATGACCATGTCCATGGGTTAACAGCTGGACTCGGTGATGCCAGAGGTCTTTTCCAACCTAATTCTGTAAGGGAGCTCCAAGAAAGCTGGAGAGGGACGTTGGACAAGGGCATGGAGTGACAGGACAAGGGGGAATGGTTTTAAGTTGAAAAAGGGCAAGGCTAGAAGGGATTTTAGGAAGAAATTCTTCCCTGTGAGGGCATTGAGACCAGTGAGGGCAGAGGTTGTCCAGAGAATCACAGAATAAGCTGAGCTGGAAGGAACCCACAAGGATCATCCAGTCCAGCTCCTGGCCCCACACAGGAGCATCCCCAACAATCCCACCCTGTGCCTGAGAGCGCTGTCCAAGTGCTCCTTGAGCTCTGCCAGGTTTGGTGCTGTGACCATTCCCTGAGGAGCTATTCCAGCGCCCAATTACCCTCTGGGATTAGAACCTTTTCCCAGTATCCACCCTAACCTTCCCCCGACACAACTCCAGGCCATTCCCTCGGCTCCTGTCCCAGGTCAGCACCGAGCAGAGCCCTGCGCCTGCTCCTCCTCTCCCCCTCACGAGCAAGTCGCACATCGCGGGGAGGTCCCCCCTCAGCTTCCCCTTCTCCAGGCCTCATCCCTGTCACTTCCCCGGGCCAGGTCGGACGGGGCACGGAGCATCCCGCCGCGGCGGTCGCTGTCCGTACCGGCGGCACGGGGTGCGGAGGGCGCCGCTCCCTGCCGTCCGCGCCGGCCCCGCCGCGCTCCCGCCGCCGGTCGCTGTCGCCGCCAGGCGGCCCCGGCCCGTCCCGCGCGCCGCGGAAGCGCCGCCCCCGGAAGCGGCGGGCGGGGGGGGGGGGCCCGGGGGGGCAGAGCGAGCGAG